AAAATGCCAGAATGCATCACGTGGAGTAAGTGAAAATGTTTTCATGAACCATTTTCAGCTTCATATACACGACACACACATATACACACATGTGTGCACACACATGCATACACATATACCATACACACACACACACACACACACTCACTGAGTAAGAATCCATTTCTTACTGTGGATTATGGTCAAAGCTTCCTTCTACAGAAAACTCTGGAATTCTCCGGCCTTACTTGTCATCCTCCCTAACACAGCACAGAGAACAACAGACTGCATGGGCAGTCTTTTCCAGGGTCGTCCCACAGGGAAGGTATGAAATATTTATGGAATTGAGTGTAAATTTCAATGCCTGTGACAACCGACTGCAAAGCCCCAAACGCCCCAATCCAGCATTGCCATCCATTGCCATTTCTTGAGTGGTCAAGAAACAGAACCACCTACTGCCGACACGCGAGGCCACCACCCAGCTCTCCCTCTCCCTGAAGCCTCGTGACCACCGCTTCTAACGCTCTCAGTTCTTCTCCCTTTCAGACTTCCAACTTTTGTGGCATATCATCAACGTTTTTTAATTGTTTTATGCATGTACATAGACTATTTCCACTTAGATGGGAAGCTCTGCAAGGAATAACATCTACCTCTTTCCAGCCAGAACTGACCCATGATCCACTGATGTGGACGGCGGGTACAGGCCCTGTTTCTGAACACCATGGGATAGCTGGTGCTCAGCAACACTGCCGCTAAGGAAGCTGAATGGGGAAGAGGTTCTGGAACCGGGCAAGTGAAGCTTAAACCAGCGCTGGACCCCAACCTTCCTGTGTTGCCTTGGGAAGGTTAATTAACATCTCTGGGCCTCAGTGTCTTGGTCTAAAAGCACTGATGGTATCGACTTAATAGGGTCATTGTAAGGACCAAATAAGTTGGAAACAGGAAATACTCTGAACAGTAAACATCCGCTATTGTTATTCTAGCACTTGGAGCCAACGCTTATTTCCATCAGCCACGGGTGCGGGGAGTCGACCCTCGAGCGGCTTCGGAACACGAGGTGTGCGGCGTCTGCGGGGGAGGCGAAGGCCAGGAAACCGGTCGGGTGACCGTGACCTGCCTGGGTGGCGGACAGCCCAGTCCGACCCCTTTCTCCCGGCAGCTGGAGAGGATCACAGCTTTTGAGAAAAGGCAACTTATCGCCAGATGCGAATTTTAGGAAAACGCTGAAATAGATGCCCGGAGATTTTCTGCCGTAATTTCAGCCGGAGGCACTGAGGACCGGCGCAAGCACAGCGGGTCACGACACTGGGACAGGGGACAGCTGAGGGAAGAGCGGCCACAGAAGGGACTCACGAGGCTTCGAGATGCCACATGGGAGGTGCCACGGGGACGGACAGGCCACAATCGCACGGGCGGAGCAGGGAGAAGAACCGGAGGGCGGCGGCGACGGGGACAAGGACCTTCCCACAGGGCGGGAGACAGAGAGAGAAGCCGGTGGCGAGGCGGACCCGCAACGCGCAGTCGCGGTTGTCAGAACTCCGGGCCCGGCCGTGGGCAAAGGGAAGCGGCGGCCTGAGATGCAGACAGGTGAGCAAGACGGGGAGGAAACGGTGATGGGGGAGAGGACGGCGGGGACCTCAGCACAGGCCGAGGGTCGCAGTGTGGGGTGGAAGGAAGGGGGAAGGGAGAGTGACGCAGGGGCGCTCCGAGGTGGGGGCTGGAGAAGCTGCCGGAAACAGCTGCTGAGGTCAAGTCAACAGGAATGTAAAAAGAATTTAAGTGAAATAGTGGAGCGTGGTAAAAAACGGCAGGTAATGCCTCGAAAAATTAAACATACGATTACCACAGGACCCAGCGAGTCCACATCCGGTCACACCCCGGAGAGAACGGAGAGCGAGATGCCGGCGCGCGCCCGTCCACGCGGCGTCGCTCACCGCGGCGGGGAGGCGGAAGCAGCCCAGGCACCCGCCCGAGCATGCGCGCGCGAGCGCGGCAGACACGCTCGGTGGACGTTACCTTGAACAAGCGGGGCATCCTGACACACGCCGCGACTGGGAGAAACGGGAAGACTTGATGCGCAGTAAACGACGCCGACCGCCGAAGGTGAACGCCGAAGGTGGACGCCGCCTGACGGCACCACACGGCGGGCGCAGGGTGGTCCGCCGCCAGACACAGCCGGAACCGGAACCGAGACCCGGCGCTGGGGGGGGAGGGGCTGCGCGCGTTTAACGGACAGAGACGCAGTCTGAGGAGACTAAAACTTCTGAAGATGGATGGTGGCGGCTCCTGTGTAGCGATGCGACCGTACTTAATGCCACTGAACGGCACACTTAGAAATGGTTAAAATGGGACATTTCATGTTATTTCACCACAAAAAAAAATTTTTTTAAGTGTTTGGCTGTGTCCCTGAGGCTGCCGGGCATTAAGTGAGGGGCATAAGGCGGCACAGACGGGTGTCTCCAGAAACACCTGGACGCCGCAGAGCCGGAGCCTGGGAAGGAGAGGCGACCTGCGGGGCCACCGGGCAGAGAGCAGCCAGGGAGGCTGCGTCCACACCCCCACTGGGGTTTCCTCTCCCACCTGACATGAAAACTTGCCCTGCTGCCCTCCATTTGTGTGCTTTCTCACTTCAGTCACCCTGGTAAAAACTTTGTCGCAAAGTCGAATAGAAAACAGTGCTGTTGAAAAAGTCTAGTCTGAGGCCACGTGTATCCGGCAATAAATTACCATCTGAAACAACTCCTGCTCTCCTTTCACCGAGGCAGACTCCCGTGGCTGACTCTCATCTGCAAAGTGAACGTAAGGGCTGGGTTCAGTTCTGAGAAGGTGACAACAGCGCAGGGGCTCTCTCGGACAGGGAACACGCGTCAGGTCGCCCGGAATAAAGGCAAGAAGGCAAGAGGGCACACAGATAATCCCAGAAGTCAAACAGCCAACAAGGGCCGCCCTTGGGGAAAAAACATTTAAACCCTAAGAAATGCCACACTCGGAAAAATCCTTTCTCTACAGAAGACAACTCACTGTATGTCCACTCTAACACGGCGAAACTGAAAGAGTTAAAACGACACAAAAACCAGAGTCCCCTGGGAATCCTTAAACCTCTGAAGGTGAGAGAGCACCGATCGTGAAATAATATGATACCAAATTAGTAGCAAGGGAAGCAACACGTCAAATAAAACACTGTGCATCTGTCTCGCAGATGTAAGGTTTGCATCAATGCATGAACGTCACTGAATTTGCTGGTGTCTTATAATAAAACACCCACTGAAGAAAGGTCTTCCCGTCTCCAGTCACTAAATAATTTGACTTCAAGGGAGGTAGGCAGACACAAGTCAAGCCCAATCAAATTTAATAATGTAAGAATATATTTAGCAATCTAAAATTACTTCTGGGCTCAAAACTTCCTGTAATTTTTATCTATTCTTACACTATAGGCGTCTGTTTTTCTAAAATGCCACTGAATTCAGTAGTAAAAGTACCAAACGCATAGCAAATTTTAACCTTGGAACAATAAAGCAGCTTTAGGAAATATCAAGTTGCCAAAATAATTCATCTAAACTTTAACATATGCACCACATACATTTCTTTCTCTATAGGTCACCAATTGTTAAAACAAATTCATGTAAAGATCAAGAAATAATAGTGAAGAATCCAATGGCTCTACCAGACAGCTGCACCACCTGGAGATGAAAGGTAAGTTCTGACATGATTCATGCCTAGTTACGCTGGTTTCCTTGGTCACAGCAACCATGAGACACGTCTCAGCACACAGACATCTTTGTTCCGGGGCATATGGCAAAGCTTTAAGGCTGGGAAATGACTTGCACAAAACACTTTTAAGACAATGCCATAAGGATGCTTCCTGAAATTATATATTAAAAAAACATTAAAAGAGGAAAGTAGGAATAGAAGCATCTACCATGAGCAGTTGAGAGAAAGGTACAAGTTAATCATTCGGAAGATTCTTATTCTTTGAAGGCGTTAGCACAGGCAGCAAACTGCACAGCTCCTGCTGCAACACGTCAGCCCCACGAACACAGCCATAATGGGGGTGCACAGGAGTGTGAGGTCCTGGGGCTGCTCCTTGTGCCCTCCCTACACTCCACCTCCTGGGCACCTCCACACCAGGGTGTGTCCTGGAGAACACTCAGGCCTCGCAGGCGTGGAAGTCATCTTCCTTGCAGGGGACAACAGGGCAAGATAAGGTCATCCAAAATGGGGAGAAGTGAGGGAGGACAAGAATGCTAGATCCTCACTGTACTGCACAGCCAAAGATCCACTGAAGGACAAAGATACAGCACCACTTGCAGGTGTAGCCTGAGGTCTGACTGATGGCGAGGCACCATCAGCCTCAGCCTCCCCATCCTCTCGGATGAGGAGATGCCCTCACAAATGAGGTGTAAAACATGATTCTCATCAATTCTCCCAAACCTCTCTTTGCCAATGAGCAGAGATAAGCAATGAAAATATGTAAGAGTACCTAAGGAGAAAGAAAAAAGGAATTTCACTGCACATGGAACATGAGTCTGTTGACTACAAAAGAGACTCCTGGGCTTCCCACTCAAGGTCTTTGCAGGGTGTAGTCCTCTCAGCTGGCGGGGGGAAGCCCTTCATCTACTTGATACAAAGTTACACACAGGTGGGAGGAATAAACTCCGGTGTTCTATAACACTGTAAGGTGAATGTGGTTAACAATAATTTATTGTATATTTTCAAAAAGCTGGAAGAGAGGATTTTGAATGTTCACAACACAAAGCAACAATAAATGTTCAAGGTGATAGACATGCTAAGTACCTTAATCACTACACATTGTATACATGTGTGCAAAATCACTTTGTATCCCCTAAATATGTATAGTTATTACGTGCCAACTGAAAATTAAAAAAAATTTATAAAGAAAGTACAGCTGTTGAAATCAAATGAGATGTCTGATATTAACAACTACAGCATCTTGGGCATGTTGATGAACTTCAGTGAAAATCCTACCATAAATGTCTGCTCTGCATGTGGTCAGTGCTTACCTTGACCCGGACGGTCTGGTCCGACAAGCTGCTCATCATGTCATTGATGGATCTGAACAGCTGCAGCAGAGAGTCCACAAAGTCGGCCTCTCCTTTGTTTTCATATAGTCTGCAAAGAAACACATGAAACTGTGGCATCTGGCAGAGAATGCTTAACACTTTTTTTTTTTTTTTTTTTTTTTTGAGACAGAGTCTCACTTTTGTTGCCCTGGCTAGAGTGAGTGCCGTGGCGTCAGCCTAGCTCACAGCAACCTCAGACTCCTGGGCTCAAGCGATCCTTCTGCCTCAGCCTCCCAAGTAGCTGGGACTACAGGCATGTGCTACCAGGCCCGGCTAATTTTTTCTATATATTTTTAGTTGTCTCCATGATTAATTTCTTTCTACTTTTAGTAGAGACGGGGTCTGGCTCTTGCTCAGGCTGGTCTCAAACTCCTGAGCTCAAACGATCCGCCCGCCTCGGCCTCTCAGAGTGCTAGGATTACAGGCGTGAGCGGCCTGCTTAACACTTTTTGATCCTGTGTCTGGAGCCATCAGTGGAACTGCCTGGGTGACAAGTTAGAAGGTGAGCCCGTTTCCTCAGCATCCATGAAACATGGAAGGCAATTTGGCAATCAGATTAGTCTAGACCATTCAACTGTGGAGCCTCCACATTAAAGAAGCTGATTCTTAATGATACTATTGTTTTTTTTTTCCATTGTAACATACTACATTTTATTAATATAAATCTGAAGGACACAGAAAACACAAAGAAAGGAAGAGATTAAGGCAGGAGGAGACAGAGGGAGGAAGAGAAGGAAGGAAGAAGGATGAGAAATTCAGCATTAATCCCAACCCACAAAAATTACAGTTAATATTTGGTATGTTTTCTGCCAGTGTTTTTAAACCCATAGAGTCAGAAATTGACAATCACAAAGACACTTCATCGCCTACACTTACCATGATCTTATAATCATTTAAAAATGATATTCTATTAATAATAGTAAATTCAGAATTACTTTATTTCAAAGTAATGATACTATACATATTCATTCATCTTAGAAATAGTGGTAGCAAAAATTTTCACAAGATGGTGCATATTCAATAAATGGATAATAAGAAAGTTGTACATTGGTTATGTGCATGCTAATATGTTATTAATTGTAAGTAGCTTTCATCTATAAATTATTTATTAGCAGTTACTTCAAGTTGCTGTGTTACTAAAAAGCAATGTATTTGCATTTTAGAAGATTAAGACTCAGATGTTTTATTAATAGACTATTTTCTGCCTAATTAAAAGTATACCATACCTGAAAACTTGTGTACAATGGAAAATTTTGTAAACTAAGTGATAATTAATTACCCTAGAGGTAATCTTATATGTAAATGAGTTCTACTGTACAGCAACGAATTCTGTGTAAAATGGGAAATTGCAACCTAGTGTACCTATTTTGTAAATAAGGGTTTTCAAATAGGGGTTTGCTTAAATGATGTGCCAAACAATTAAAATTACAGAGGACTGAACTTCTGATTGTAGGTGGCATAGAAAACATTTGGCAGACTGGTGCAAGGCTTGGTTGGGTGGCTTCAATCATGCAATCATTTTTCCCCTCAGGGCACTTGCTAATTCCTGAAGCTGCATGGGGTGGAGGACTAAAATCCAAAATCAAAACCTCTATAAAGCAGAGTAAAGAATTTTTATCAGTTGTCAAAGAAAATGACTAAAGTTTGGAAAATGCCAGAGACGGAGTCCCAGGTAACACAGCAGAATCTCAAGTTGAAAATCATGGAAAGGCAGGAACAAATTAAATGTAGACTGAGGTTTACCAAGGCTAAAGCACAGCCTTGACTGAGTAGTCTCTGGTTAGAGTAAGGTGGTCAGCCCCACTTCCTCTGCCTAGAAGAAGGCAGGAAAATTATCTGTTAAAGAAGATCATCACATCCTCTGAAGTTTCTACAAATTTACATACAAACAGTCCTGCCTCCAAACAAAAATTATTAAACTCAGCAAAAAGCCAAACCATAGGACCAAGTAAAAGAGGAAAAATAAGACAACAGAAACAGACCCATGAGTGATCAAGATATTATAGTTTGCTACCTAGTACACCAAAATAACTGAAATTATTATATTCTAAAATAGAAAATAGAAAGATAGAAATATGAAAAATAGAAAAATGGGAAAAATAAAAGGTGAAATGAAATTTTTTAGTAGAGAAATGAATCTATAAAAAAGAATCAAGTGGAAATTCTAAAACTATGAAATATACTATCTAGCATTAAGAATCCATTATATGGGTTAACTAGAGTAGACACAGCAAGAGACAGAATTAGTGAAATGGAAGACAATTCACCGAAAGATAACATAAGTACAGAGGAAGAAAATATAGACAAGAGTGTTAGGAATATGTGGGCACAATGAAGAAATCAAATATACATATAACTGACGTGCCAGAAGAAAAGGAGGGAGATGATGGGGCGAAGGTAACATTAGAATGGATAATGGCCACACTTTTCCAAAACTGATAAAAGACATCAATCCAAAAATTCAAAAATCCAATGTAGAATAAATGAAAAGCAAAGCATTCCTATGCAACCCATAGTAAGACTGTCAGCTGCCACAGGAAAAGAGACAAACTGTAAAAGCAGCCAGAGAAGAAGATACCATTTACCTCAAAGATGTGACAGCCAAGTCTGAAAGCTGACGTCTCACCAAGAGAACAGAATAACTTCTGGAGGAAAAAAACAACTCCAACCTAGAATGCTATAGTAAATAAAAATATCCCTCAAACACACAGATGAAATACATCATTTTCATACAAACAAAGCCCGTAGCTGGCCTAGACTAAAAGAAATTCTACAGGGCATTCTTTGGACCCAGGGAAATGACCCCAGAGGGAAATGTGGAATTGAAGGACGAAAAACAACAAAAAATATAAAACACATCAAATAAATACTAACTGTACAAAATAATAGTAATGTTTTATGGAGTTTAAAATATATGTAGAATTGAAATGTATGACAACAGCAACATATAAGAGAAGAAAGAGAAAATGAAGCTAAAGTGTGCTATTTTCCTAGCCATGTCTGGCATTCTTAGGGGAGTAGTAACAGTGACAATTTTAATTACTCTATAACAAGTCCAACATGCATGTTACCATCACTATGATAATAGTTATAAGAGTAGTAAAAGAATGTTTAACTAATATGTCAAAAAGTAGAAAGTGGGATGATAAGAAACAAAGTTTAATAGATGCAAAAGAAGGCAAAAAGGGAAGAAAAGGGGAACATAACGCAGATGGGTAAAAGAGAAAACTAAGGGACTGATGACAGATATAAATCCAACACATTACGTAATTACATTATAGGTAAATGAACGAAACACTCACTTAAAAAGATTGCCCGACTGTATGAAATAAAAATACAGCTACATGCTATAAATAAGAGACATACATTTAATATAAAGACACAGGTTGAAAATAAAAGAATGAAAAAAAGAATTCCATGTAAACACTAATCAAAAGATAAAGAGAAACTTTTCAAGTTCATTGAGGAGTAAGTCCACAAGAAAGACATCACAATTATAAATCTGTGTGCCCCCACACAGCTTCAAAATCTATAAAGCATAATTAATAAATCTTTATGTATTATTTTCAAAATTCTACTAAGAACCTGTCAAGGATGAAAATTTAATAATCAGTTTCCCTGCTGCCAACCAACGTGTTTAGAACATATAAATGGTTGATAGCCTTTTACAGTGATCCCTTTGAAGCGTCTTTCTGTTACAAATGATCATTGGGGAAGTCTCTAGAATCTCACCTCTTGGATTTATCAAATACACCAGGAAGAGTCACTTGTTTGACTCACCTTGAGGTGGAGGAAAGTCTGGCAAGAAAAGAACTCAAGAGACTATTGATAAATAGATGAATAAGAGCTACTCATTCCTTGCTCTATTTAAATAAGTATTCATTAACAAGGAATGATAGGATATTTGTCTATTAACTACATTCTATTTTGTGACCCAGGGAATGATAGCAAAAAGATCTGCACAATTTATTCATGATCAATAACTAATTATTCACAGAGCTAACACCAGATGACAGGCAGGAACTCTACAAAGCACAGGGAAGACAGAAGAGGAGCTGAGCAATAAGTAGATTTAGTAATTGGATTCGGAAGGTCTGATGCAGGATGTCTTGTTTTCTGGCTTTCTAGTTAATGTGATCCGCCCACACACGAAATACAGACAAACAAAAACCAGCAGAGAAGCGCCCCTGGCTGTCAAGAACCTCTCAGTGGGTTCCCCGGGAACCAAATGTCTGTGGGCCAGAGCTTTTAAACTGCTGTTCTCGTTTCGAAACATAATAAGCTTTCTAAACAAAACAGAAAGTATGGAACTGCATAGCAAAAAAGATAGTAAGATAACTATGATAAGCTTCCATATCTTCATCTTGAAATTTCACCTCTTTGTTCTTTGGAAGAATAATTACTGTCAAGTATCCTGGAATTTAACAAAGCTACTGCATTATAGGAAAACACAGCAGACCATTTTGAAAGAGGCAGAAAAATAAAAGATCTCAAAACTTTAGAACAACTGCAAAAAGAAAAACACACTTGTCAATTCCAGCTGTGAGCACAATTGTTTTTCTCCCAAGGTAAATAAATGTGTTGCAGGTAAGAAAATGAGAGCCCTAGTTTGTTTTCTTGCCCACCTCTCAGAACACCACACAGGAAACCTGCTTAGACTCGTCAAGGATCAAACATTCTAGACATTTGCGTGGGACACAGGACTTCTTTTTCGTTAAGTTGTCTATACAAGGTAGAAATAGGATTTCATCTAAAATTAAAGCCTTTGATGTCACAGATGAAGAAGTATCAAGTGACATGTTATGGCAGGACAATGGGGAGTTAGAGTGAGGACAAAGGGAGACATTAGGACAAAACTTCAGCCCTTCTGTCTGTGATTCTAAGGGCATGAATTTTTTCTTACTAAAAAAATCTGTAAGACACTAAAACATCTTCTCAACAGTTTTAGACTACAGATTTAAATTTAATAAGTTATTATCATATCCACACAATGCAGCTACAACTGTGTTCTATGTTTTGAAAAGGAATACTACTTCCTTCTTCCCCCTCAAGAACTATAGGAGGCAGCCAAGAGCACACTTAGAAAACATTTAGAGAAAAAATTAAGTCAAACTATTAATGTCTGGGATATAGTCAGGGCTCAAAAGCACATTAAGTATTTATGGATGAAGGAAGAAGCAATGGAGGGAGGGAAGGGAGAAAGAAAGGGTCTAGGACAGGAGGAAGGGAGGGAGAGAAGAAAGGGGCTGGGGAGAAGAGAGAAAGAGAGGAAGAGAGGGAGGAAAGGACAAGGGTCTTCAACATCACCATGATCGCTGCACCATGTGGTTAGACAGGGTCAGGAATGCACACACAGCAGTCTTGGAGGCTTAGGAAGCCTGATGGCATTTTAGCAATTTTTGCGACTCAGCTTCTGACCACTTTGTGTCCTTGACAGTTTCAGCTCTTTTGACAAACAAGTTATCCCAGCAAAGCTCACATAATGCCTGGCTTCTGCTGGGTCCACACCAGGACAAAGGCAGGCTGAGGGGCCATGGGCTGTGCCATGATGCCAGGGACCAGGACAAAGGCATTCCTGAGGACTTTAACCCAGAACACTTCCTAGTCCAGCACAATCGTCAGCTAAGCACTTCAGCCCATTTCTATGCAACCCAACAGGACTGAATCACATCTGTGAGTCACTTAGGGCTCCAATGACTTAAAGCCAAAGAGAAACTGACAGTAGTCTCAGAGTGACCCCCAAACTAACGGGGAAGAAAGTCTCTGCAGAGCCTACAGTTAAGTAGGAGTTTGTAACCTGGAATGAGTTAGGGAAGTTCTGAGCTCTCAGACAACAGACATTCTGGGTTAAAAGTACAAGGAAGAGACCGGTGTGATGGTTCATGCATGTAATCTCAGCACTTTGGGAGGCCACAGTGGAAGGACTGCTTGAGGCCAGGAGCTTAAGACCAGCCTGGGCAACATACTGAGACCCCATCTCTAAAAAATTTTTTTTTTTTTTTAAATTAGCC